TATTATTTCTGAGCTGTCAGCCCCAGTATATATTACAAATTTCGAGTCTCTAGTATTAAGTATGCCAAATATATATAAGGGTTTCTATAAAATTTAGGATCGATCTTAATAGGATCGTAAGAGTCAATCAAGGGAGTTGTAGCTCTAAGGCTAAAGAAGATGATATGTATCTTATTTTTCTAGTCCCTGTTTATCTACTCAATGTAAAATGTTAAATGTAATTTTCATCTGCAGGGCTTCGTTCACGTTCGCATTTGGTTTCCACAATTTCCTGGCGTTGTGATGCAATCGGACCAGGAGCTAATCATCATGTGCAAGCCGCCAGAGCCGACTGTAATAGAGAATAAGGCCGCTGGCTTTGCGGGCTCCTTGTGCGTAGATCTTTGGCAGAACCTTTGATATTAGCATTAACTTAATACATGTATATTTCCTTGCAGTCCACATGGAGCACGTGTCTCGGGCATAGTTGAGGAGATGCCGAATCGATTGGAGTATGAGGTCGCGCTGTATAAGGAGGCGCCGCCCATAGCACGCGTCAGCGGCACGAACAATCCAGTCAGCTCCTCGAATGACCCGGCCTCTCTGCTGGCCGACAACGATCAGGCCGTGGATCAGGCCGTGCCCCTGGGCACCAAGCTGCAGCTGCGAGCACGCATCAGCCAGTCGGTGTGGAAGTATGTCAAGCTGATGGAGGTGACTGTGTCGCCAGATCCGGGTAAGTCAGGTGTCTTTAGGTGTGCATGATTCCTCTATCGTCGCATTATCTATCAGAGAATCCACTTGCAACGGGCTCTGTCTCCCTGGTGCACAACGGCTGCCGCAATCGGGAGCTGGCCACAATTATTCCCCATCAGCCGGCCAAATATCGGGATCGACCCAACGAGGTGTTTCTCGACTTTGAGGCTTTTTTGCTCAGCTCGATGAAGGAGAAGGCCACACTCTGGATACACTCGCAAATCAAGGCCTGCATCGACATGGCCGACTGCACGCCCGACCTCTGCATCGATCTCTACGAGCCCTCGGGCCACGGCCGCAAGCGACGACAGATTGAATCGGCAACGGAATCTACTGCAAATACAACTACACTGAACGGTCCCATGATGCAACGAGCTGGGAATTCCACTGCTGCCTCAGAGTTTAAGCGCTTCAAAGAGAACATCGAGTACACCGTTATAATGCCCGGGCAGGTGAACAAAAAGGTGGGCCTCCTAATCGATTTGACGTCGCAGTGTCGCGGCGCCCTGCTCATTAGCTCGTTTTTTGTATTCATGATTACGCTTTGCTGCTCGATTGTAAGTGCAATTAGAACCGGCCCATGCTGTTATATAACTCACTAATAATAATAATAATTTCTCTACCTTCAGAGCTGTTTGATAGCATTGCGCGTGCACAACGAGAAAAAACTAAGACATCGCCAGTTCACCTCCGGGTTCAACACAGGTTATGCAGGTCGAGCGACGGTTCAATAACCGAAACGGAAAATACTTCATCAACAGCTGAAAACAAAAATCAAAATAAATAACCGAAATAGCTCCGCATTTAGCGTTAGTCTTCGAGCTATGTATATCATATGCATTTATCAAGTGTACCTTTACTTTATATAGCGAATAAAGCAATTAGATGAAATTGAAAATATTCAATAGAAATCTTCGTCTTCTCCATCCAGAATTATAGTTTTTTTTTTATTTTAAGTTCTTCAGGATATCTAGCGATTGCTATGGCAATCCTATATTGTAAATGTATTGTATTGAAAGTAGAAAAAAATAATTGATTTTAATTTGAATTGTATTTATAATATATATATATATATACATATATCACCTGGACTTGCTCAGTCATCCGTCAAATTCCCATTCGCTCAGTTTTAGATATATTCCCTCAGCTCTAGTGAGAATACTCTATTTGGAAAATTCGCATTGATTTGTATTATACATACATATATTATATATTTATGGGATATATACTAGCATTCGTGGGTGGAGAAACTGTTTCGTTTAACGACATTAATTTGTTTTTCTTATATGTTTTTATTTTGATTAGAATCTGGCTTGTTGTGCTTGTTGTTGGCAATTTATTGGCATTTGTTGAACTTGACTTGGTGCAAAACAATTATTTATTTATTTAATGCCTTATTAAGCGTTATCTGCCGTGGGGATATCCGAGCACAGAGGTCAGGCCACTGGTAAATGGCCAACAATAAAACTGTCAAGTTGTCAGAGGCGGGCCAACTAAGCTGCAAATGTCAAAGGCAAAGCCCTGGCCAAAAAGCTACTTAATTGATTCGCAGGACTTGGAAAAGTCCTGTTGGCAGCAGCAGCAGCAGCAGCAGCAGCAGCAGCAACAACATCAGCCTCCTTCTGATTGTATTCGGTAAACACAGCTTGACATTAAATAATCTATGTACATACATACATATATACGCAAATACAATGGCTTATAGGCGTACGATATCGGCTCGCGTGCTCATACATCGCGCATACGATAGTCGCTTCCAGATGCATAAATCATGCATAATTTACATATATACGTCGCGACGTCGGGCTAGCTTACTGCCGAGCTGAATTATGTTTCCTGTAACTTAAATAAATAATATTAATCAATTATCAATATTATATTTGGCTCCTCGAGCATTCATAAATATTAAATACCCACTATCGACTCCACCTCATATAGATATAGCTGGAAAACTGTAGAGCATATGAATACATGTATGCATTTTACATGTACGTTGTTTCTCTGTGTATATCCCCATGTTATGTATGCAAAATGGCCAAATGATTTTGAAAGCAGTCTTTGTATATGAGGGACCAATTTTTCTGATTGACATTCTTTAGATTTAGAATACAGGGTTCTAGACGGATCCACCAAATATGGATAGATCTGCATATTCGAGATTAGCAGCGGAAACGATCTTGTTTCATAGATCAACAACTATGCCCCTTTAATGTTGTCTAATAAAAACGTTTTTAAAATTCACTTTTGAAATTTTACATTGTACTTAATCCTTATTTTATACAATTTTAGTTTAAAATGTTTTGGTAGATTTGTACTGAAGCTCTGTGCAGAAATTAGGTTGGGAATTAATCCCGGCATATGAAGTGATACAATCTATAAATATTGTCTTTAGTTTTATGCCCCCAAAAATACTAGTCTATAGACCAAACATTGGTCTATATCATGCCTTCATCAGTCCCTTGAATTATAACTTCTCTATAAATTTTGGATTACCCCTTAGTTATTAAAGTGTATATATGTATGTACATACATAGCTGCTTACTATTAGTTTTCTCTCTCTTGCTCCTCTGTCAATACATATACATACATATTTTCCGCTTGCCCCCACTGCAGAATCGAACTTTTGCAAATAGTTAACAGCCGCAACGAAAGGCCTGTATTCACTTAATTATGTTTTGGTGTGGGTTAACAGGGCGTATGATTAATGCAGTCCTCGCCAGAGTCTGCACAGTGAAAATCAATTAATTAGGCGCGGGATAAAAAGAACAAAGCACACGTGTTCTCATGAATGAATCAGAGAACAACGCGAACGAATGAACGAATCAACGAATGAATGAACGAATGAGTGTAATGACTCTTTCATTAGGCATTCGAGCGTGAATAAAGCATTAACTACCCAGACAGTCAAGCGGGCCAACGAGCAAGTGGGTAGGTGGGCATTTGGGTAGGCAGGTGGTTTGAACAAACTGCCTGATAGTCCTTGTGCTCGCTGGGAATCAAAAGTGAGCCAGCTGCATAAATTTCCATTTAGACAAATGTGACAAACGGAAATTGCAATCGACGCTGCGCCACGCTCTCAACAGAATTTCAGCTTCCTCTGCAGCAGTGGCTGCAGCAAAGGTATTCGCCAAGGACTTGCTCCTGCTGCTCCTGCTGTTGCTGCTGTTGCTCATCTTATTGGCATTTCAGTGGAGTCTGTTTAATAAATGATGAGCACGTTGAAGCATATTGAAATTTAATTCATAACGTAGCAAACGGATGACGATGCGCGATATACATCGGAGCTACTGAGCATGTGTGGCCCATGCTCTCTCTGTACGTGTGTATGTAGGGACGATACCTTATTGCATACTGATTTAATTATAAACCAACGCGAGATAAACATAATTAAATTGGCTAGACTGAAGCGAAGGCTACCACAAGTTCATTCAGGCCACGAATTAGTCATAATATGAGAATTATGTGGATCGAATTATTTGACGAGCTCTTTTGAACTAACTTTTAATATGATTAGTAGAAAGGATACTATAAGGTATATGTCCCAGAAAAATATCTCAATGTAATTTATATGGAAATTTCGAATTGCCTTGATTAAATTTATATACGAACATTAATTATATACATATATTCCCGGCAAAAGGCTCAAACAGACACGTAATTTATATGCCCCTGCTTTATATATCGAAGAATATATCTTTCAATAAAACGAACTTTTTTCTATTGAGTGCTATACAAAATCTGCTGTAAAGTTATATTTGCCTTTTAAATCTTTGTGGCTAGAGTCCCCAAAGTTTGCAAGTTAGGGAACTCTATCCAGTGCTCCTAGTCCACATATATAATTTTGTGGCTTGGCAAATATACACATATGTACGTTATTTTCATATTCAGAAAGTTGGACTTAGATAGCCCGTTTACAAAGGATTTATTTAACAATTAACTTTTCATAAGCAACCCAGAAAAGATGTGAATAACGGTTGGAATACGGTTTCAGTTTTTCGAATTTTACTGAAAATCTCGTAGTCGAGCAGCCTCGTCTAGAGCACTCGTAATAAGAGTGAAAAACTATTCATATTACGAGTGCTTTGCTCATAAGAAAATCATTGACATTTGGAAAATAGGAAAAGAAAATCTCAGTTACAAATCAAGAACGAGAAAATCTATAATAGGGTTGGCTGAACACCAATTAATTTTCAAAATTCTATTTTTTTGTTTAGTCTTTGTACTATCTTTAATAAGTGGGCTGTGTACTTGGGATCCAGTGAAATATGGATACCAGTGGTACTTATCAGACTCGTGGCTCATATTTTAACGAAGAGGAGCCCGAATTAACTCCAGAACAAGATCGTCGCCGTCGCATTCGGCGTTATATAGTCTTAAGCATAAAGATGGTCATATTTCTTTTCATATGGATATTCTTTGTGGTTAATATGTGTATTAAGTCAAAAACGGTTGTGCAGGAGAGAGTTGTGGCCTTAGAGCAGAAATCAACAAAGTATCTGGATGTCAATGGAAAGCCGAAAAATAATAAGATAAAGGTTAAGTTGAATGGAAATTTCGATGTGGAGGTCACCAATTATCCAAGTCTGGCAGCAGATTCCCAAAAATATTTATTAATGAGCGTGCAAATCTTCAATACTGATTTGAACCGAACGGAACACTTGTCGAAAAAATGGATCGTCTATTTTATGAAATATGCCCAGTCACGTTCGCATTTAGCTAATGTGCAATACTTTTTTGAGTTGAAGCCTCAATACCCAGATAGTCCAGATATCGCGACTATATCCACAGGCGATCAATATGTAACTCAGGTGGTATTGCAGAATCCCATCAATGATATATTTGCACTCAAAATCAGAATTAATGTCAGTCCGGTGGAGCTGGTATACGGCGTTCTCACAGCAGGTATATTGCTTTTTTCTCTATATGCAGTTTTAATCCTGGATATTACGGATCCCACATTTGCCGCCGTCCTCATTGCGTCGTGCGCGATTGGAGTGCTGTGTATGTACGATGACAAGCCAACATTGAACCAAATAGTGTCATGGATCGATATCCACACATTGGTGCTGCTCTTTGGCATGATGATAATGGTGGGCATTATATCGGAGACCGGCTTCTTTGGCTACCTCGCGGTGCTGGCCTATCGTCTGTCCAAGGGGCGTGCCTGGCTGCTGGTGGGCCTCCTCTGCCTGATCAGCATAATACTGGCCGGATTCCTGGAGCTGGTCACCATAATGATGATAATGGGGCCCGTTGTGATCCGACTGTGCGAGTGCATGAACCTGCGCACCACCACTGTGATGATCTGTGTGGCGATCTTCTCGAACATTGGCTGCGCACTGACGCCCATTGGGGACCCACCAATTGTGTACATTGCGACGAACTCCCATGTCATGGCCAAGGGTGTCGACTTCAGCATGTTCCTCATTCACATGTTTCCGGGCGTGGTGCTGAGCATTTTCGCTGCTTGGACGTACATTTATCTGATGCTGCGCAAGGGCCTGACCCAGGGTGCCGAGGAGCAGACGAATAACTCGCTGAGGCTCCTAGCCAAGCGAATGGGTGACGGGCAAGCTCCACCACTGCTGGCCATGCGCATGGCAGACCCAAAGTCCAATCCGAGAAAGTATTCGGAATCCGCAGTTTTTCGAATCATGGCTGCCTCCAACTACATTGAGACGCTCGCCATGATGGAGTCCAAGTACAAGGTGCACGACAAGCCGTTACTTATCAAGAGCGTTCTTTCTTTCCTATTCGCCATAGTGCTGTGGTTGCTGCACTCGCATCCGTTCTTTGAGGGCGCCACTCTGGCCTGGACTGCTCTGATGGCCTCGATGCTGCTGCTGATACTCTACGATTCGCCGGACTTGAGCGCTGTGTTCATGCGGGTCGACTGGTCCATGCTGTTGTTCTTCTCCGCACTGTTCGTGCTCGTCGAGGCCTGCTCGGAGCTGGGCCTGATCCATTGGCTGTCTAAGCTAACGATCAACATAATCGCGCATGTGGATCCGAAATATCAGGTCGTTACAGCCATTATGCTTGTCCTGTGGATAAGCGCGTTCTTCGGGATTTTCATCGAGAGCATTCCAATTGCCACAGTGCTGCTCAAGCTCACCATCCAAGTGGCCCTCAGCGAGCGGATCAATATACCCTTGATCCCAATGATATGGGCTCTCACCTATTCGATATGCTTCGCCGGCAACGGCAGTTTGTTTTCGACCACGGCAAATGTGGCCGCCACTAGCATTGCCCACCAGCATGGCTATAAGATCACCTCTTCCGAGTTCTTCAAGTATGGCTTCCCCGTCATGATAATCACCAACAGTATTGCTTCAGTTTATCTGCTCATCGCCCACGGAATTTTCCATTGGCACTAGGCTGAGTGCCATCTCTGCCTTCGTCCGTCAGAAACTTGCCATGGCCCAACATTTTTTCTTGTATTCGTTTAGCCGGCAAACTTTTTAATGACAAAATTAAATTCGCACGCAGCGTTGTGGGAAGGCAGAACGTAGAAGGACGAGAAGTGGCCTAAGGAAGGCTTCCTGATAAATAATATTATAATTGGATGTTCATTAATAGTTAACGAATTTGAGCTGCCGTGTCGTTCAGCAAATTAAATATGCATCTATTCGATATCAACGCCATCTTTATCTGCTGGCCTTGTCACTTGCCCTGGCTCAAGCGCCTGGGCAGCCAGCGGAAGCTGCCATCAGTGGGAAGCATCAATGTGTGAGAACTTGTGCTCCCATTCGTGTCAAATGGTTGTCTCGCAAGCATCGTGAATTCTGTTGCATGTCTCGATCAATGGACAATAGCCCTCAAAAACGGACGGACAGGTGGACAGACAGGGGCTATACAAAATCGATAATTTACGTTGTACAAATAAAAAAATGGTGTTATAATGTGCGACGGCATATAAACTCCAAGAAACATAAAAAGTTTTTTCAATTTAAAAAAGTTCATAATACTTTTGAATACAAATATATTTTATTTATTTTTTCAGCAATTTTATGAGCTGCATTTAGGATAGTTTTAAAGTCCTTGTCTATAAAATATTCGTTATACCCTAAACCCATTAAAAATGTGAAATCGGTTTGTAATGTATGTAAAGGCAGAAGGAAGCATCGCAGACCCCTTAAAGTATATATATTTTTGATCAGGTCGACGAGCTGCGTCGATTCACTACTGGCCATTGTAGTGGCGCTGGAATAGAAAAAAAGAAGCAGCCTAAAAGTAGGCAATCCGCTGAGCTTGGAGTGGCTTGGAAAAGTTGATCACGCGATCACGGATGTGGCAATCCCAAATCTGGATT